ATCCCGTCAAAAGTCCCTTCACAAGTCCAGTCACAAGTCCCTTCACAAGTCCAGTCACGAGTCCCTTCACAAGTTCAGTCACAAGTCCCTTCACAAGTCCAGTCACAAGTCCCTTCACAAGTCCAGTCACGAGTCCCTTCACAAGTCCAGTCACAAGTCCCTTCACAAGGCCAGTCATAAGTAACACGGTGAATAATGACAAAGGAATGCTTTTGTCACAGCTCATTCGAATGAATCGGCCCAAGACAGAAGGACTTGTAAAGAACTCGAATGCAACACTGTCACGAAGTACACCGCACAAATGCATCTTGGTGTGCCATAGAAGAAGAAACTTTCCTCTGTGACAACTCCAAAACTAGGGAAATATCCACAGTGTGTGTGCTTTTGCCATTGGACAAGCCAGGTGCCAAGTTGTTACATTGGTATGCAGCCCCTTCCCCCCCAAGTGATTTGTCGCTTTGTAAAAGCGATCAAACAAGTTTTCACCTTCATTGCGTAAATCCTGTGGAGCACACATTTTGTCCTTTGGTGAAAACAAAAAAGAATCAAGATTTCAGTAGATTTGGCCGGAATGATTTCACCAAGTCGGCAACGCCACATACAGGTTGCTTGGTCGATTTGGCCACAAAAACTCTAGCCATTTGAAAGAGTGACGATTTTCGGCCAGTCTGTCTCTTCTCGTAAATCTTGACGATATGCTTGCTTTATTTTTGACTCACTGTTCATGTACATGTATAGGCGTAGTAAAGCTGTAGGAACAGTGGATGCCTACTGTAGCATTTGCGAACGCAGTTTGGCCGTTGTTAAAATTTAAATTACATGTACTTGCTATTTCTTTCAGGCCACAGAAGTGCAATATTTTGGAGCAAGTGCTCTTCACACAAAGATCTCTCGATACTGGTATGATTGTTACTGTCATTTTGAGTAACTAATTCAGTGTACTCATGGTTAGTCTTTGTGGCTGTCATTGCCTCAATTTCGTATTGCAGGAATGATTTTACTTGAACTGTTTAGACGGCCTTATTGTTAGTCTGGTTCCTTGCCCTAGCAACCCTATATCGCGTCAGGTAACCTCTGCCAGCACAAATAATGTATGGCATAATGCCGGGGATGCAGGCCTGCTGCAGTACACATATGCCTACTACATGTAGTTTGTAAGATGCTGGTGGTACCAAAAGTTGTGCCAAGGTGACAAGACTAGTAGTTATTCAAAAATACGAGAAAAGCGGAGAAAAGCACGTTAGGATTGTGTGGCACAAGGGAAGATCAGAGAAAAGAAACAAGGCAGATATTTTACCCACGTGTATGTAAAAACTGAAACATTGATGGCAACATCTACAAATAAACAAAGGATTTGGGAAATTTGGGCCAGTTTCAGAAATTTCCGGAAACAGGAAGAATTCGGCCCATTTTGGTCATGTGACTGTAGCAGCCACCGGAACTACACATTCTTTCAAAATAGTTGTCAACTTGGTTGTGCTTACGGTCGCTTGTAGAGAGATTTTTGTTGGTTTTGTTAGTACTTTAAACAAATTCTTCCCCCCAGTTACTGTTTGCAATCTCCATAAAATACACAGTCTCTGTTGTCACCAAACAGTGTGCTTAGCAGCACTGTCAAGTTGGCCCATACAAAAACACCAACCAACCTAAGGAACCAATAACTCCAACCAGTGTGGAGTCCATGAGATTCATTCCTGTAGAACTTACCCATACATGGGCATGCACCGTGGCCACCTGTTGATGTGATATACCACTCACCATGAGTCCATCGGCCACACATGCCCTACAGGAAGGAAGCAATGCTTCATTTTCCCATCTTGCAGATTAAACCCACGTTCCTCAACCCCCCGTCCCCCGATCAATTCTGACGAGAACATGCCGACAGGCTGTTCTGTCCGGATCATTTTTATCGCAGCTCAACACAGTAACCTAAATGGCAAATTGAGAATTTCCCGTGGTGTTACCGAGTCCCAAAATGTCACAGGAAATCCCAATGTGATTGCGGCAATTTTTTTTTTTTTTTTTTTGACACTCAACTCTCCGAGTCGTCTCTTTTGGCAAACAGGGCGGAGATGCACCCGGAGCAGTACGACATACTGCGGACTCAGTTGTTCAGGCAGATCTTCACATTTGGCACTGGAGCCAGGATCGTCTTGACCCGTTTGTGCGTTGCCGTAAGTACACACGCCCCTTCAGGTTATCTTTGTTTAGATCGGATGTTTCCTTGATATCCCCAGTGCAAGGTACTTTAATAATTCATCAGGCCCGCAGTATTGTATACGGAAAGGTACAGTGCATGATATCCACTGGCCCGGGTTCGATTCCCAGCTCGTTCCACATGTGGATTAGGTTTTCAGTCCCTACCTGATCTTGTGGGGTTTACCTAGAAGTTTCTTCTCTGGGGTTTTCCTCCCACCTTTGAAACTCTAACTGTTTGTCATTGTCTCCTCTCTTTCCACTCTGAGTGGAACAACAGAGAGCTTAATTATATATAACAGGTTTGCCCTTACCCAACGTATATTAACAAGCACTGTATGCTCAGTGCTTGTCCGAGAGCTTGCAAAAAAAACCTCACAAGCTTACTCGGGTAGGTTTTTTCGCAAGCTCTCGGACAAGCACTTAGCATACAGTGCTTATTAATATACGTTGGGTAAGGGCAAACCTGTTATATATAATTAACATCTCCCCAAGGAAAAAAAAAAAAATACATCTTGAAAACAGAGAGCTTGTTTTTTTGAGTACTCACCGCATAGGCACCTCATACGCATTTCATGCTGAGTACGCGTAACTAATTTACTCCAGCATGTATGGTCTTTGCGTATGCATGGAACGTGTGCAAAAACCTGCTTGTAACCACCCGTCCTTCTTTTGCCGATTCGGGGTGCACTTCAGCTCGGGGCAGATAGATATATAGGTGGATGTGGGTCGTTTTGCGGCTGCCTGAGGGCGCCCTTGCAGGTCATGCGCTCGACCACTTTAAATGTCTTCTTTTGTACAGCACATTTGAAGATATTTGTATGAAATTTGCACTTTATAAATGAATAAATTATAATTATAGCAAGTTGTGAACGACCACCATGTTTCAAATGTTGGTACCCAGAATATATTATGTGTGCAGGCTACCAGGGAAAATCGATCTGTGGGAGACAAGTGGTCATTTGCTGGAATCTTTAGCTTTGAAATATTGTTGGCACATGCGCAAAACTCCTTCATGCTTTCTGCGAAGGAAATGTACGTGATTTTCCACCTTACATTACATGGACAAGAAATGATCACCACAAATGGAGATTCCGTTGTTTGCGGTACGTTTCTGATTTTAAGCAGCTGTTTCGCCTGGGGTTAAGCTTTTGCCATGCTTACTGCTATAAAAACCACCTTGATGGATTGGAGTGAGGCTTCGTCAGCCCAAAAATCAGATGCTGCATGTACATAATGCCATGAAGTAGTGCCCAAATTCGAGAATCCAGTCAGAAATATTGAAACAGAAATGGACTCCTGCCTGTGTTGTAGTGTTATTGGAAGGTCCAGAGCTGACTTACAGCAAAGAATAGCCTGGCCCTCTTCTCAGCTGAAGTTGTAAATTTAAATGCAAAGTTATGGATGATTCTTTCTTTGGATGAAAAAAAAATGGGGCAATTGTTTCATAAAGATGCTGATCTTTCTCGTGACATAACATGATGGTCAAAGGTATTTCGGGAAGTGTACCATGTTTGTGGAGGCGCGTGCATTTCCGAATCTGTATATTTCTGTTGGCAGTTTCATGTACGCCAGAATATTGAGAGACTTCGAAAGCACGCGCATTTCCGCACACCTCTGCGTAAATTGAACGCTGACTGTCAAAAATCGTGTCACTGAAAATTCTCTATACTACCGATCTTTTCTGTGATGTAATGCAGCTGTCCTCGTTTGCCCTGAACACAATGCCAGAGGTGTGGCCCGACGCCGTCAAAGGAATAATTGACACCTTCCAGCAGACCGATATACCGCAACTCGACGTAAGTGTGACATGCAGTCCACTGTCATTGTCATGGTCATGTTTGTTGTCGTCATGTGTATTGCATTCAGATTCCTGAGATCTTTGAAGTATAGATATCTTCCAGCAAACATATACCACGACTAGATGTCAGTGTGATATGCAGTTGGCCGTCATTGTCACGGTCATACATAATTGTCAACATACAGTATATACAATGCTCTCTGTGAAAACGAGTCACAAGTCGCCAGAGCCTCTTTGGAGTGTCAGTTTGTACTGGAAAGAGGACATTGAGCCCTTTGTTGTGATATGCCATTCAGTTTGGTATCCGAATGAAACAAACTAGTGTCAGATGAAACAAGTTATGGATTCTTATTGCTTTTGCGCAAGATTTTTTAAAGACCCTCAACTCGAAAGTCCCTCTAGCGACCTGCGACTCATTTTGACAGAGTATTGTGTTCTGTTTTTGTCTTTCTGCAGGCAACTCACCGATGTACAGCCCTTCTTGAGCTCTTAACAGTCCTACCAGAGGAGGTAATGGCAGTTTGCAAAGTTAACTATCCAATCACAGCACTGTAAATTGATGTCATAGTGTAGTCACATGAAATTTGACCAGTCACAGGCAGGCAAAATGATGTCATTCATCGTCTTGAATGTCGTTCCACCAACAGAGGTTCTACATGGCTGCCATTTTTCTGGTTAGAGGTTTTGTTCCGCAGGGATCCACATGAGTAGACCTTCGTATGATTCCTCTGTAACAAAAGCAGAACTCAAATGCAGCAGTGTGGAAGCGGGCTTGCATGCGAGCCAAATTATATTCAGTCTGCATGGTAACACACGACCCTTTAATTTTTTGATATCCCAACTTACTGCATCAAAGAATCCAAATATGGTAGTACCGTGAAGTCGCCATTTTGATTGAAATTCAGCCAAGGAAAACACGGGCAACAGATATTATTTATCTGCCTGTGTACATCTCCTATCCACTCCAACAAGATAAACCCTTCAAAATGGATAGGTATTTCACTTAACTGACTCAGGTATTTCTATTTTTTTTTAATTTTCTGTTTTTTTTCCTGTGGATGACCAAGCATGAACCCATAAATTCCTCCCCAGAGTTGTTGGTGATGGTTTGCATTTCTTTTCGTGGATTTGTTTCCTTCAGTTCCACACAGCTCCCCTCCCTCAGTCTCGGAGAGGAACGGTCCGACATGAATTAGAGAACGGCCTGCAACATGGTAACAATTTTCCTTGTCAACTTTACGTTCTCTTGGGGATGCTACAAGAACTCAAACCTTACGATCTGACACTTTCCCAGTGCGAAAGGGTGAAGCTTGATTTTGTTTTGTCTCTTTCGTTAACAGGGATTGAATTTTGAGGGGAAAAAAAAACAACTGAGCCACTGGGCCATTTCTTCATAAAATTTACCGGACTGGAGCATGTTACAAACGGACACTGAAAAAAGTGATCACGATCCACCTGTTATGTCTTTGGAACATCTTCTGTCTCAGAAGTTACTTGTGCTGGTACCATCATTTCAGAGAAAATTAAGCTCATACAAATTCACCATTTGCGAAACATTTTGAATGATTTGTATAGAAATACATGTATTTCAGACAGTAGGCTTCTTCTCTTGCACCAATATTGATGCTACAAGACAGATGTTAAACTCACTGGGCTTGGTTCTCCAGTCCCGTGGGCATTTTGAACAACCCCTCCCGCATTAGTAAACTATGGCCTTTTTAAACCCCTGACCCCCCTCCCCAACTCCCCCAGTCCTGCCCCTCATCAAGACCCTCCTGGGGCAGCAGGACTCGCCCGACGCCGTCCGCCTGCAGGCCCTCAAGTGCTTCTCCAGCTGGGTACAGCTCAACGTGCCCCTGCCGGACATCGAGCCCATCACCGAGATGCTGTTTCAGCTCCTGCTCAACCACGACCTCTTTGACCTGTGCATCGACTCGCTGATCAGCGTGGTGTGCCAGCCGGTGGCCTACAAGTGAGTGACAGCGACGAACCAGTAGCCCGAGGGGAGGGGAGGGGTCACAGAGAAATGGACTGCTGGGGAATGGCGACTTGGAAAGCAAGATCAGTCAAAATCTAGGTGCCAGTAAAAGAAAATTGGTCAGTGGAGGAGAGGTCCTTTTTTTGTGACGGGCAAAAGTAGGAACGTTGAACGTTGGGTTGGATAGGACAAAATGCTGTTTTGGGATGGGCAAACAAAACCATTGCTGCAAGCCAGATCTGACATTGTATAACTGCTTAACATGAAATCCTCAAATGTGAGCATTCTCAACTCGCCGCTTTCCATTTGTTCAAGCAGAATGTAAGCATTGTCCTCCGCAGCGATGCGAAGCTCTTGGTATGCAGCATTCCAAGCCTGTAGGATTACAATAATCCTGTGCCTTTGTTTTTTGGTTGCAGGTATCCAACTTCGATTCGGAAGGTCATCAAGCAGGTCTTGCAGCTACAGGACCACTTGGCCTCGGCGGTCCGAGACAAAGACATGGTAAGCAGCCAATCACAATGCGATGTGGAGGTCCCACGATCAGAGCCAGTCCCCGATTTCTTACAGAAACCTACAGCTCAGACCTTTCGTGCACTGCATAGTTTGTGGCCAGTTGAAGAAGTTTGAAATGCGGTAACAGACCATCATTTAATAGTCAAGAGTATCAGTTGGTCACCTGAGTCATAAGTGGCAGTGCCATGCTCTATTCAGGAGCTGTTTTACCCTTTTTTGAGCAATTATTGTCTCTAAATTGGGACTTTGAATTGTGTGTAGTTTCAAGTACAGCCCCGTTACAAAACCAGTAACAGTTGCTGTGGTGTAGAAGTTTCTCTCAACATTGTCCAAGGTCTCAAATACTTTCAATTCTTTGTCCCATGGTCACAGTGTGGATATCTACCAACGTATTCTTGCAGACTCCAAAAATAAGGAGAAATCTTTTTCTTTGACAAACACAAAGTTGAAGGTGAGAAATGAAGCTAGTAAGTTGTTTGAAGGTGTGGCACGTATACTGAATCTTTCACCCTGATTCCATGACCACTCTCCGGACTATGACCCGTTTGAATTTCAGAATGAATTTTCGGATACTTTGATGCATTCTCACAGAATGTTTCACTGCCAATGTTTTCAATGCAGAAGTATAAAAACATGGAGCAAGCATCAACCAAAATGTCAAAGTCCTCTGGGTTCGAATCCCACCTGAGCCAGCTTGCAATTTTCTGTCGACTCTAGGACTACACTGAGATTGAGAATACAGTGTGGATATGCACTGGAGTGTGGGGGCAAAACTTGGTGTAAAAGTAATATCGCCGACTCAAAACCAAATTAATGTCACTGATGTCAGAGTATGCAAAATTGAAAGGCTCCACTATGCGTGTGTGACTTTCTTACTTCGAGTTCACCTTTTCAATTGGCTTTTGTTTTATCTTGGTCAGGACGTCGTTCAGGGTATCTGCCGGCTCGCCGTTTCCCTGGGAGAGAACAACTCCAAAATCCTGCTGGAGTCGGAAGGAGAAGACAGACAGCACGCGGTAGAGTTCACCAACCTCATCATTGTGAGTCCCGAGCCCATGAACTTTGAACCATGACCCACCCTAAATTTTTTGACACAGGCTAATGGTTGCACACCAGTATTCAAATAAGCTGCCATAGGCAACGGAAATACCCCCACTGAAACAGTTTTTTTTTAATCTGGCTTCCCAGATTATAGCTGGTGTCCTCATCTTTCATTTTCTTGTCAATTTTTAGGGGCTTAACCAATGACTTTTGAAGATATTTCTATCCAGAGATAATCACCCCTTAAAAGTTTTAAGAAGCCCATCACCATTTTGAAAATTGAGGCCCACACTCCATTGCAAAGCAGAGCAATTTAAAGGGCCCGTTTTGGCCTTTAGTTTCAGAAATACAAGCTGGCAGTCCTGCAGGTAGATTCCGTCCTCGGTTTACAAACCATCCAGCTCCACGTGCCACAAAATTGCAGAGAATTTGACATCATGTAACTCATGATTTGGTCCACGCAGGCAATTTGGGACCTACTTACAGGCACAAGTCGACATCCTGAAGGGCTGTGTCAAATTTATACCCGGCTAGGGCTAGGAGTAACATACATGTACGTGTACATGGAACGTGACCGCAGCCATCAGGTAGTGGCTTTCATATGTGCCTGTGTACTTTGCAGCCACAGCCACAACTTTTTGACGCAGCCGTATCAAAGATTGTGCTTGAAGAATTATAAGGAAGGTTGACTGATGTGTGTTTATGGTTGTGTGGGGATAATTTCTCTTATTGGGGCTAATTCTTTGTCAGGCAGGGATTGTTGGCAACCAGACAGTGTTGTAGTTCAGGCCATTCACAAGATTAAAGACCTGTAAAGAAATTGTTCACAAGACCTGTAAAGAAATTATTCACAAGCCCAGTCACCAAATTATTCACAAGACCAGACACAAGATCATTCACAAGACCAGTCACAAGACCTGACACCAGACCAGACACAAGACCAGACACAAGACCAGACACAAGACCAGACACAAGACCAGACACAAGACCAGTCACAAGACCAGACACCAGACCAGACACAAGACCAGTCACAAGACCGGACACAAGACCAGTCTCAAGACCAGACACAAGACCAGGCACCAGACCAGACACAAGTACTAGGGTGAACAATGACAGGAATGCATTCTCTGCAGTTGCATAATTTGAATAGCTAGCAACTCGAATTTAGACTGGAGGTCTTGTGTTGGTCTTGTAACGGTCTCTAGTTGGTCGTAAGAGTTCTCGACCACAACACCACATGTAGACTCATGGTAAGGGTGGATCTGAACCAAATTTTGAGTCGGGGGGGTTGAGGGGGAATATTTTGGGGAATGCCAAAATATTTGGAATTTTTTATGTAACCTTTTATGGCCTTCACTAGGGGTGAGGTTGCATTTTGGGGCTTTTACATTCTTTGGGAAGGAATTGAAATGAAATAGACCAAGACTTATCGCCTTTCTCTCATTATTTTTCAAGATTTAGGGTTCCCTTTTGGGGGGGGGGCATTGTCGCCCCAGATCTGCCCTTTGACCATGTTTTCCAACCCAGCCAATATTCCAGTTCATTTTGATTCAAAAGTATAAAGTGTAGTCTTTTGTGAATCTGTGGTTGTGTTCTGTTCAGGGTTTCACAGCTCTGCCTGGTCACTACCCCGTGGACGAGACGATAAGCAATATACCATTTGGATTCTGGTACATTCTGCAGGTAACCTTTGACCTCTGACATTTGCACTTGGATGAGAGGAGTCGTTGTTTTGCATGTCTCTTCCCTTGAGTAATGTTAAAGGGGCACTAGTGGGCCTTCCTCCCCCATCCCCCCGATTTAAACATTCCAAAGAGAGAGCCTGATTGATACAGCAAGTGAAGGAAAACATGCAGACCGTTCTACCCAGCCTCCGTCTGATATAGCTCACTAAAATTTTCATGAGACAAAGACAAGGTCCTTAATGTTTCAACTGCCAAGTGTTGAGGTTTCAGTTCAAATTGTAAAGGTGACTTTTCAACGTTTTGCACCTGAGAGTGAAGCTAAAGGATTTTGGTTTAAGGCCTGAGACTGTAGACGGGTGCAAATCCAGTTTTTTTACAGAAGATTCAATAGTGTGATGGCATGATAATGGGATGAATAGAAATTGAGTCAAGGTTCCAGATATTTTCTTTGGCACAGTTGATTGATGCAGTACGAGTGAAGTGTTTTCTGGTATTTCATTACCTTGAGTGGTGAGACTTTGATTTGCAGTATTGAGCATTCCAAGTAAACAAATTTGTGGCCTAGATTTGAAGGCATGGCACACCCTTTGCCTGAAAGCTCTGGGACGTGGGCACATGTCTCACCCAGATCAGCATGTGCGATACATTTGTTAGAATATTCCCTAGGTATGCGGCAGGTTCCATGAGTTCGGGGTTTCCTCCCTTGTGATTGAAAACTGAGCCTTTCAGAAATTGGTGCCACTCTCAAAACAACTCATGAATCAGCCTTTGTCAGGTCCCAGCGGGCTAGTTAATGTGTTGCATGGACCGTTTGTTTCCTGTCGTGTCCCCGTCTCCCTTCTTGTCATCCGTCGTCGGGGTGTTCACAACAGTATCTGTCTCTCGTCAACCGTCAGGATGACATAGTTTCCTCGGACCAGGAGGAGTTTCGGGAGTACGTGCGCGTCTTTGCCCCAGTCTACATGCACCTCGTCGAGGTCATGCTGACGAAAGTGCAGTACCCGCCGGACGAGGAGTACAGCACCTGGAATGCAGGTCGGGTCAGGGGTCAAAAGGTCATTATTAGTAGAGCTGCTATTCGGCACCGAAATGTGCTAAGTAGAGAAAATATATCCTGATAGCAGACCAGGTTCACACCCTAATTGCTGGGAAAAGTGTACCAACTGAGACTGGTATTTTGTACATTTTTGTAAACCGTTTGCAGCAGCTTAAGTATAATTAAAGTTAATCCAAACCTCATCCCCAGGGTTACTTTATTTTCCACTTTGTTCCATTTTACTATAAATCACTGGATGGGAAACTTTCCTCCCATGTCCTGATTGGACGAAATGGCAGCGAATAATTTATTTATGTCATGTAGTTGATCTCATTAATTCTAATATGTACTGTGTGCTCTTATGCTTGCTTGGAACTCTCGTATCCCCACTGCTTCGTGAAAGTGCCTAATCTTTCCATTGTTTTCGTATTCATATGGCATGGAAAATGACGGCATGAAGCAGTTTTCTGCTGTTCAGGTTAAAGGCCTGTTCCGTACGCGCATGCATTGTTTGCCACGTATTGAAACTTACATTGGGAGACTTCAAATCTGCTCAGTGGCGGCAAATGTACCGGTCCCATGTGACCGGTGCACTGTTGTTTGCAGCATTTTTAGTGTGTACAGATCACTTCAAGCCTGATTCAGACAATAAAAATATTTGTATGTTTGCCGCCACCAAGCATCTCAAAGGTCTCCCTTTGCAAATGGGTCATTCCATGAAGTTCGGGCACAGTTTGTTATGGTGTCTTTTGTTACATCGGTAACTTTTATTGCCCATTATTTTCACGTTACAGATTAGGTCATTATTATTCGGCAAAGATGAAGCACACCACTACAAGAACCTAGCAAGATTTAGGTCAATGTGAATTTAGAATCCACATGCAGGGAAAAAAGATGTTTATTTTCAATGATGTAACAAGGGACGCAGTCACAAACTGTGCCCGAACTTCGTGGAATGACCCAAGCGCGATTACCAGTTTCAAAAGATAGTAAAATTAGTGATGGTGCTCTTTCGATATTTTGTGCCCTCTCTGCAGAAGAGAAAGAGCATTTCCGATGTTACAGACAGGACATAGGTGATACACTTGTGAGTAAATCCAAAAACTTTAACAAACTTGAATGTCAGAACCTGAAACTTTCCTTAAACCTGCTCGCCTTTTTTTCATTTCCCCTTTTTCTTACAACAGTTCTGTTTAGTGAAGCCCATGTTAGCTTCAGTTTCCCACAGCGGAATTCTCAAGAGCTTTTATTTCATGGCTGTTTCGAGATCAAAACTCTTGGGCTGTGGTCAAGTCTGTTACAAGCCATCTAGGCCCAATTTCACGGCGCTGCTTAGCACACAGTTTCATGGTAACGGAGGCTCCAAGTATTTCAGGTTATGGAGATCATAAGCAGTAAGCAGAGCCAAGGTCGTGCTAACTTTGGAGAAAAAAATTGCTTAAACTTAATGATGTAACAATAGAAATCTTTATACGCATGCAAACCCCTAGCACAACCACGCCAAGCACTGCCGCGAAATAGTGCTTAAGGTAAGAAGTTAACTTTTCTGCTGTTAAGCAGCTCCACGGAAGTGGGCTCTCAGTCCAAGTCAC